GAAACGGACGATTATTATAATTGATTGGGTGAGCACAATCCCAGAGGGCTCTTCTGGGCTCTGTACAAGGTCAGTTAAATAATAATGGCAATAACAGCTAATGTTTATCCCGCACTTACTATGTGCCAGGCACTGTCTGAGCTTTATTAAGCCTTTTAATCCTCGAGACGACCTGATGAGGTGAATACTTTCATATTAATCCCATTTTGCAGATGAGGAAACTGAGGCACAGAGTTTAGGTTAAACTGCTCAAAGTCGCACTGCCAGTGGCAGCAGTTGGAACCTAACTCCGGGCTCTTGGGCTCTAGGCTATACTTGGCTCTCGGTGATCCAAGTAGGTGGGTCCCTACCCTCCTGGAGTTCATTTCTTCCCAACCAGTACCCTCAAACGATCATGACATGCGAGTTTCAGAGACAGGTGCGTAACTCTGCCCATTTCACAGAGGGGAAAGTCCTGAAAAGTTAAGGAACTACCCCAAAGTCACGCTGCCCATCGTTGGGGAATTAGAATCCAAATGTGTTGAATCCCAGCACCTTTCCAGGCACTTCCTAAGGGAGCTCAGTGGAAACAGAGGTCAGGCTCGGAGGCCCTAACTCGGAATCTAGCGAGGCGTGGATGGCTGAGCGGGAGAGCGGGGAGGCGGAGAGCGGGGCGAGCGGGCGGGCGCCGCGTCCGGCGAGGCCGGGCGCAGGGCAGCGGAAGGCAGCAAGCCCGCCGCAAGCCGAGGGCGGAGGGCGGAGAGCCGCGTGGGTCCAAGGAGGGCGCCGCCCCGCCGGAACGGCGCTCGCCGCCTGGCACAGCTAAACGGGCAGAGTTATGCACCCATGTTTGAAACTGGTCTGTAGCGGTCGTTTGAGGGGTACTGGTCTGGAAGGCATGAACTCCAGGAGGCTGGGAACCCAGCTACTTGGACCACTGAGAGCCAAGAATAGTAGCGGTTGAGAGCCAGGAGCATCCGTCTCTGGCTTTCGCCAGACCCCTGCACCAGCGCCAGCGCCGAGGCGCCCTGCCCGGAAATTCCCAGAGAGTCAAAGCAAACTTCCCAGGAAAACTCCTCGGCTTCCTCCAAGCCCCTGTCACCGAGGCGGCTGCCAAGAGCGCCAGCGGAGTCCTTGCAGCTGCCGTGGGCCCTCCAGGGCGGGGGCAGCCACTCGAGCGCTCGGGGTCCTCCTGGAAAGGTCCAGGGCTGAAGTTCAAAATTCACTTCCCGCCCAGGCCCGGCTTGCGGCCCCGCCCGGGACTCTCCGGCAACCCCACGTCTCTCGCCCTCCAGAGCGCCAGTTAAGTAATGGGGCGCCGCAGCCTGAGGACCCGTGCGGCCCGCTGGGCCAGTCCCGCGGGCGATCCCTGCGCGCCGGGGGACTCCAAGCAGCGCGAGCCAGCGCGCACACATACCCTGCGTGTGTGCGTGTGTGTGTGTGTGTGTGTGTGTGTGTGTGTGTGCGTGTGTGTGTTTACGTACGGAGCGCGCGGGGTGGGAAAACAATGGCGAGCCGCTGGAAACTGAGTGACTACCCCCTCCGCATCTCCCTGCCCCTAGGCTCGATCTGCTTTTGCTGTGAAATAGGGATGAAAAGGCTCACCTCCACCACCCAGGGCGGGAGGTGGGGGGTGGTAAGAGGCAGGCTGGGTGGGGGTGGGGGTGGAACCCGAGCAGCCCGAGCAGAGAACAAACAGGATGCGGCGCCCGGCTGGTCTGCTGGGGAACGATCCTGGAGCGGGGGCAAGGGGTGCGCGACTGGCCCCCGAAACCCCTTACAACCAGGGCGGGGGAGCTCTGCGTCTCCTCGCAGACACCCGAGCCCCTCGAGGGACGCGCACTGGTCGCCTCGGCTTCCCGCTGGGAAATCCTTAAACTGGGCGCATAGTTAGGCTCGTGGGAAAGACCTAGTGCCCCAGCCGGCCGGCGAGGAGCGGGCTGGGGGCGGGGGCACCCCAAGCTCGGCTAGCGTGGTGCGCGCACATACGCACACCGCCACCCCCAGCCTTACAGGCTGCCACCCCTCTCCACAAGGACCCGGTCAGCCCAGGAGGAGCCGCCACTGGCCGGCGGTGTCGCGGGTAGGTGAGGGTCTGTTCCTCCTCGAAAAACTTTGCAAAGGATGGCAACTCGGAGGGAAGAGCGCCGGCGTGTGCCCAGAAACGTGGGGGCGCGAGTGTCAAACTTCGGAGGGGTGGGGAGATGGGCGCGCTCGGGGCGCGGAGGGCGCACTTACTACTCAGCCGGGCGCTGGGCTCGCGGCTCGCGGTTCCGCGCTCCGGCTCCTCCTCCGTGCGGTCCTCGCGGCTGGCTGCCCGGGCTTCCCGCTCACATGCCCCGGCGACGCAGCGGGCGGGCGGGCCGGGCCGGGGCGGCTGGGCTGGGAGGAGGCACGCCCCCCGCTGTCGGCCGCGGAGTCGCTCCGGCCCCACGGCCACCCAGGATCCGCGCCCCACCAGGGGCCGCCGTCCCGGGCGGCGAGCTCGGATCCGGCCGGGCGGCGCCGTCCGCCGAGCCAGGCCGCTCTCTGCCCTCTGCCCTCTGCCCTCGGCTGGCGGCCGTCTCCCTGCCTTCCGCGGTCCTGCTCCTCGACTCGCCGGACGCGGCGCTGGCCCGCCCGCCTCGCTCTCCGCTCTCGCGCTCTCCGGCTCCGCGCTCCGCGCCTCGGCTCGGTTCCGAGTCAGGGCCTCCGAGGCTGACCGCTGCACCCTGGGCGCCGACCCGGGCTCGCCGCTCCTGGGCCCGGGTTCCGGGACCCGCGCTCACACAGTTCAGTTCCAAGCCGGGACTGGAACAGGGCACTCGCTGCTTGCTGCTCGCTGCTGCGAGGCGACTGGACAGCCTCAGAGGAGAAAGAGGGAGGGAGACCGAGAGCGCGCAGGGGGAGGGGGAGGAGGAGGGAGGAGGGAGGAGGGTGGGGAGATGTGGAGGGAGGGAGGGACAGAGAGTTTCCTCCTCCTCCCTGCTGCCGAGTCCATCCAGGCATCAACAGCTGGAAACCTCTGTTGGGAAGGCTAGAGCTAAGGTTCCCGGGCGGCGGGCGTGGGTGGAGGTGGAGTGAGGGCATGGAGAGAATAGAAGAAAGAAGGTGGATTCTGCCCTCTCCCACTGCTCAGGTGTGAGCGTCGCCACAGAGCATCTTTACTCCTCTGAGCAAGACCTAAAAAGTTATCGGTCCAGCTCCAAGCCTGGGGTAACCCGTCCAGACAGATAGCCTGGATTGGGGGATTTTAGAAACCCCATTTCAGAACCTCCCTTAAGAACCTGATCCCACCAGCTTAGAGGGCTTCCTGGTGTCTCCGACCATTCCCTAGTCCTGTCATTTGCAGTCTCTCAAAGAAGTCCTTCGTTTTCTCCCACCCTGTTCTAAGAGGGGAGGGAGCGTGGAGAGTTGGATTCCTTTTATTCAACATATTTATTAAATGTCTACAATACGCCTGGCCCAACTGGGTGCAGTGAAGGGGAAGAGTGCTAAGATAGGGCAAGCACATGGGGCATGGGGACCACCAAAGTCACTAGGATGTGGGGACTGAACCGGGTCTCAGAAGGACCTGGGAGTGGGAGTAGGGCAGGTTAAAGGAGCTGCGGTCATGGAACTGCAAATAACTGTGCCCGCGGTGTGGGTGGCCTGCGTGTCAGCAGGTGATGGTCAGCAAGGCTTTCTAAGGGCTTTGGATTTCTTCCTTCCCACTGCCTTGCCTGGCAACTCCTTTTATTCATCTTTTAGATCTCAGCCTAGATATCAACTCTTCCGCGAGCCTTTCTTGATGGCCAAATCTGGGTCAGGCACCCTATCTGTGGGCTCTGGAAGTCCCCTGCTTGTAGATAGTACAGTAACTATTCGCTGGTCTCCCCCACTGGATTGTAAGCTCCACGAGGGCGGGGATGTGTCTCTCTCGTCCACTGTTAGACCCCGCATGCCTAGCCAGGGCTTGGCAAAGAGCAGGCTCTTAATAAATACTTGCTGATCAACTGGCTGACCGAAGGGAAGGGGGAGCCACTGAAGGATTCTAAGCAAGGCCTCGGTCTAACTGGAGGGAGGGAAGGAGGCCAGTGACCACACAATGGCAGTGGCCAGGGCGACAATGATGCAGACCTGAGCTAAGCTAGGAGCAGGGGATGGAAAGGAGGAAACAGGGTGAAAGTACAGCCAGCAGTGGGAAAAGTCAACTTGAACTCCCGAGGGCCTGGTTTTCGGATGACGGTGAATGAAGCCATCTCAGAAATGAAAGAGTTACCCAGGTGCCACCAAGCCTTTCCTCCTCCCAGACAACGTGCCTGTGTTTTCCATGTCTCTGGTTATTTTTCTCTGGCTCCTGATCAGCTCCAATGGGGCAACCTCATCGTGGGTCCCTCCTGTAGCTGTCCTTAGTGACAGCAGATTGAGAAAGCAAGGACAGAGAGGTTAGAGCTGGACCCTCCTCTCCCCGGCATTCCTCCCTCTACGATATCTCACTTCATTGTAGCAGCCCTTCCCAGTCACTGCCACCAGGTTAAGGTACTGTCCGCCTGCTGTGTCTTAGGCATGGTTCTGGTTTCCTATATGACATCTGTTTGTACCTTATTCCAATTCTGTGAGGTTGGTGTCATCATCCCCATTTTAGAGGGGAGAAAAATGAAGCTCGATGTCATAGTAAATGGAGAGAGGAAATTATCTGACTTAAGATTCTAGATCTTTCTACACTACCACACCATTTCCCAGGAATACCTATCAAATTTATGCCATTTAACCCCGTCAACAACTCCCTCCTTGAAACACTCACATCATGACTCCACACTGTCCTGAATTTCCTCTGCCCTCGCTTTCTCTCTTTCCCGGCACCCCATTTTTCTCTCTCTCTCCTGTCTCTCCCTAGGTGAAATGTTATCCGTTCCCATAGCTTTAAGTACCAACTATGTGCTGATGATTTTCTCAATTTTTTTATTTAAATCTCTAAGACTGTTTACTGCACTTCAGACTCATGTATCCAACCGCACGCTTGATGTTTCTACTCACGGGCCTCACAGACATCCTGAACCTAACATGTTAAAAATCGAACCGTTAACCACCTGTGTCTACCTGGTCCCACCTTCTTTCCCGTTTCGGTAAGTGGTATCGCCACCTACCCAGTAGCTCAAGCCAAAATCCTAGCAGTCATCGGCGATCCCTCCTTTCCCATCGCGTCAATTTAGTGAATGTCAATGATCTATCTCCAAAAATATATCCCAGTTTATCCACTTCTGTCTCCACCATCCCCAGCCTAGGCCACCATCACGGCTGAGCTGGACTGCAGCAGCCTCGCTGCTTCTGAGAACTGAGTCCACCTGCAGACACATCATTGAACTGAGGCTGTGTACAGCCACATGACTTTAATGTTTGTTCCAGAAATTTCTTACCCGGCGAGATAAGACTGTAAACTAGTAAATAACTTCATTATTTGCTTCAGGAACTTCCTGAAAATCAATTTATCCAAACAATAGACTGCTCCAACAGCCCCCTTTTTGGGACAATAGTTTGCTTTACTGGGCAAACCACTGGCTTATCAAACAATTGTTTATTTTTCAAGACCCTCCCCATGCTGTATCCTCCAGTCCTAAACTGTTATATCATAAGTTTTGCCCAATCCCAATCGGATCCCCTTACTGAAAAAGATCTGCCTTAAACCAGACTTCAAACCCCATAAACGGCTTTTCACCGGGAAAGTGCATCCCTCCCATCTCAACAAAAACGTCCCTTCTTTGGTCTTTCCTCTCCCCCATGTAAAATCCTCCACCGTATCCCACCTTTGTCCTCCTTCTCAGCCCCCTATTTGCTTCCTTCATAGCACAATTCGTACTTATTTTATGTTTTCTGTTTTCCTGTACTTTTCCCACTCCCCTTTAGACTGTAGGCTCTGTGAGGGAGGGACCTTCTCTGCCCCATTTCATTTCCAGAGTATAGTAGATGCTCAACAAATACTCACTCGGCCTCAGGGAGCGCAGTCTCCAGTGTGTTTTGCGTGTGGCCGTCAGCCAGTTCCTGAGACACTGGGAGAGGTTGTGGTGCCCAGGTGTGCTGGGTTCCTGACATTCCCTTACCTCCAAGGTTAGTGTAAAATGCACATGCCCCTGGGAGAAGTAGGAAAAGGATTTAATTCACAGAGTGGCGGGAGGAGAGAAAGCTCTGCGAGAGGAAGCTAGCTGAGGAGTTGGAGAAGGAAGGAACTCACTGAACAACTGGTCTCACTGCTCTGCCTGGAGACTGTCCTGCTTGCTCCCACCCCGGCCCTCACCTAACTGAGGCTCATTTTCTCTGTGAAGCTTAGAGAGAGGACACTTGTAGGTTAGGTCAGGTCAGAGTAGGCCCAGCCTCGTGGGGCTTGTCTGGTACCAAATCTTTTTTTTTTTTGAGAGGGAGTCTCGCTCTGTTGCCCGGGCTAGAGTGCCATGGCATCAGCCTAGCTCACAGCAACCTCAAACTCCTGGGCTCAAGCTATCCTCCTGCTTCAGCCTCCAGAGTAGCTGGAACCACGCCCAGCTAACTTTTTCTATTTTTATTTGCCTGGCTAATTTCTTTCTATTTTTACTAGAGATGGGGTCTCGCTCTTGCTGAGGCTGGTCTCAAACTCCTAACCTCAAATGATCCTCCCACCTTGGCCTCCCAGAGTGCTAGGATTACAGGCGTGAACCACTATACCTGGCTGGGTACCAACTCTTCATCCTACTGACTGAGCAAGTGCTTTTCCAGATCCCTATAGCCAGAGATGTGAGTCAGAGATGCTCAACCCAGGGGGCTCTCGCATCATGGGGTGTCCCACAGGGGCGACTTCTCAGAGGCAGGCACTGCCTTCAGGCTGACCCAAGGTGGGCTTCTACTCAGTTCTACTTGGGTTTTTCTAAGGAGTCACACTCGGGTATGGAGCTAATCCGTGAAGCTAACAGACTGAGTCATAGAATGTTTCATTTGCCCATCAGAGTCTGAGAGTAGAAAATCTGGAAAGAATCAGCCTTCCAGAACCATCTCCAGCTCCCTCTTTGTGCAGTAGAGGAGACTGAGGCACAGAGAGGAGGGGAAACTTGCCCAAGGCTGCACTTTACATACATGATCTCTTTAAGCTATCGACAACTCTGTGAAGATGGGGACATTCAATAGATGAAAAAGACACTCACAGAGGTGAAGGAAATCTTCCAAAACCACACAGTGAAGGGGCAAAGGCTGACATTTGAACCCAGGTTTTCTGGCTCTCAGATGCATGCTTTGTCTGCTTTACCACGCTGCTCTGCTTCTTGTGGGGTTTTATGGTCCTTGGAACGTGAAACATATAAACCAGTGCCTGAGTATTATTCAACACCCCAGATTCTAGCCTAGACCCTAGAAGTAGAAACAGCTCTCTGCTTTCTATGTGACAGTCGCCTCTGTTCTCCAAGTGAAGGACTTTCTCCCAAGGACAGAAGACCCAATGCATGCCACCCCCCACCACACACACACACAGGGACCCCACTCAGTGCATGGGCTCAGCTAATGCTGGTGACTTGAGTCCTTTTTACACACAAACACACACACACACACACACACACACACACACACACACACACTTCCAGAACATCTCCAGTCCGTCCTTCACTTGTTTAGCTACGTGGGGCAGTGAGCATGGGGAGAGGGCTGGAGCAGTCATTCTCGCCTCCCGGCCTACTGCACATGCTCTCTCTGTAAATTGAATTATCTGGAGTCCTAAGTTGCTAAGGGTCCTGATCAGGCTGCATGTCTTCCCGATCCATTTGGAGTGCGCGCAGCTCAAAGACAAGGCCACCGCCCTCTGGGAGGGCAGCCGCACACGTGCGCACATGTGCTCGAATACACACAGTGGTATTTTTTTCTCTTTT